TGTGTCAGCAGTGAACCAGAGGGAGAAACTGCTGCTTCACGGAGTTCACAGTCTGGCGGAGGAGACAGGTGATGGGCAGGTGAAGAAGGGAAGATACAGTGTAGGCGGCTGTGTCGGAAGTGCTGTGAAGGACGAGGCTAGACGTTTGCACGGAGACCTCAACAGAGCGATTCCGCAGGTAGCTACGGGGAGGGCATTCCTGCCAGAGGGCAGGCCAGTGCAAAGGCCCTGAGGCAGGATCTGCTGGGTTTGGAGTGAAGTGACAGGAGAAGGGTATGCCCTGGGACCCGAAGGGGACATAATTCCAGAAATGGGAACTTACCTCCAGAGCGGGGGCTCAATGTTCTTTTCTGGGGAATGGGTGGGCTGGCACTGGCTTCTCAAGGTCCCCGTGGGAACTCAGGGAACTCCCGCCTGTGACCAGCTGCCCCCGGGGGGAGGCCCTTTGTCTGCCCTGGCCCTGGGGTGCTCTCTTTTGACGCAGCACCGTGCGTCAGGGAAGGCCGGAGCTGACCAGGCTCGCTGCCTGGTTCCGGAAGACCGGCCCTGGCACCCTGGTGCCAGGCACGCCCCCTGCCCCTTCTCGCCTCTCTCTTCTCCCCATTGTTCTTTTCTCTTCATCCCTCCTCCTCCTCCTTCACCTCCCCTTTTCTATTCCCTCTATCCACTTTCTCCCCCCCCCTCCCCTCTCTCCATCCCAAACCAACATTCCAGCCCAGGGGAGAAAAACAGGGCAGATTTCCTTCCTCTCCCTGGCGGGGCTCCAGACAGTGACTGGACCATTGTGCATTCTGGCCCCAAGGTCATTCCCACCCCTCCTCCCTGCCCTTTCCCCTGCAGAAGGGTTACTTGAGAAAAGGCATCTAGGGGGAGGGGGGAATGGGACAGAGAGAGGGGGGAATGGGAGGCCCAGACCAGCTCCCAGCCACGGCCCCAGCCCCTTCAGCCTTGTGGCTTTGAGCACGGATGGGTCAGGAGGGCAGGAAGGTGTGTGCGTGTTGGGGGGCGCTATTGTAGCCTCAGCCCTCAGTCTGCCACCTGCTGTGTGATGCTGGGCCACCTCCTGCCCCTCTCTGGGCTGATTCCTGGTCCCACAACTTTCTGGCTGAGTGACCTCCAGTAAGTTACCTCCTCCTCTTTGTGCTCACGTCCTTTTCCTGTCAAACGGTCCCCTGCATCTGGATCCCCCAACTTCCCCGTGGACAAAAGTTACCCAGGCTGTTCGTTTTGAAAGTTCGTCTTCCAGGTCCCTTCCTTAGAGAAGGAGAGTTCCTGGGCCCCCTGTATTTTTTAATGAGCAGCTAGGAGATGGGGCGGGGGGTATGGCAGCCCCTTTCAAAAGGAGGCTGAGAGGAGCAAGGTCCAGAATCTGCTCAGACTTGTTACCCCGAACCTGAGATGGTTCGCGTTTGATTGTCAGAGCTCACACACATTCATTATCTCTTCTCATAAGGAACTTTTTTTCAGCAATTACCTTGTTCAAGAACACGCTGTCTCCCATAAAGGGAGGCAAACCTGGGTGGTGGGGTTAATTAAGTCTCCCCAGGCAGAAGATGTGGCAGAAAAATTGTTTTCAGCTTTTCCATCTGCCTGTTGCCAAAAGCCAGCAAACACCTCACTGGGGGGGTCAAAGGCATTGACCCAGCCCTCGTCTGCTAGATTCTTTGCCCTATTATCTCCTTTAGTCTTTTCAGCAACCCTAGGAGGGGTGCAGTATTATTATTTCACTTTCACGGGTGAGGAAAAGCAGCACGCCACAGCTGTGAGCGGCCAGATCAGCTCCAACTGGGCTCTGAGCCTGTGCACTTGACCGGCTTCCTGCTCTGCGGAGGAATGAAGGGGACTCATGGGCCGGCCCCTCCCCGCGGCAGCCGTGGGAACTGTGGAACGTGGAACGCAGTTCTCCTTTTCGGCTCTCCGTGCCTCAGTTTCCTCTCTGTAAAACGGAGGAATGGGCAGTAGCTACTCCTAGGGGTTGTTGTGGGAATTCACTGGTATGATGCCTGATGAAATCGATGCCCGAGATACGGGCGCTATTATTATTTTGCAGTTATTGTTGTTTTTTTTCTGAGACAGGAAGGAATCGGACAGCATGGAGGAGGCAGTCAGGGAGCCCAGAGATGCCTAGAGAGATGGGACACTTGGTTTTGGGGACATCTGAGCGCTGTGTCCCACAGATACAGGATCTGGCTTGACCCAGAAACCTGAGCTGCCTTCTCCTTGCTCCCGCCGCCCCTCCCGCTGGCCTCATTCTGCAGCGCACAATCAAGCCCCGACTGAATACAACCTCAGTCTTTCCTAATTCCTTGCCACTGTGGCTGTGGCTCCATCCCTTTGGGCTTAGGTGAGAAAGGCCATTTAGTCCAGCTTGGGAGGTAGGAGTTCTAAGGTCTGGCATGGCTGAGCCTGCCAGCCGCCCACCTAGGATCCATTCTTCCTGTCTTCCTTGGGAGCAGGACCCTGATGTTCTTTGGGGCAGCAGAGCAGTGTACTCAGGGAAAAGACTCCACTTCCCAGCCTCCCTTGCAGCTAGGGTCCCCATGTGACTAAGATCTGGCCAATCAGATGTAAGTGGAAGTTGCAGGCTAGAACTTTGGGGAATGTTCCTTAAAAGGGGAACAGTCCATAAACTGGTGTGGGGCTGTTGTTGCCCCTTGTCCCTTATTTCTACTTCCTGCCTGGAAAGTGGATGAGGCAGCTGCTGCTCCAGCAGCCATCTTGGACCATGAGGCGAGGGCGAGAGTGGAAGCCCCAAGCTAAGAATCATGGAGAAGAAAGATAGAAAGAGCTGTGTCCCTAATGGCACCATGAAGCCCCCATTCCAGCTCTGAACAATTTGTTTATGGGCACTTTTTTTTTATGACAGAGACACAATTTTTTATTCATGCAAGCTACTCTTACACATACCAGTTTCTCTTTCATCTTATGTTAGTCTTCTCTTTGTTGCCTGTTTTTTTTTTCGATTTTCTCCTGATAGTCACTAAAAAGAAATTCTAACTGATATACCCAGGCTCTAGCCCTACACGTCACTGATTCTTCTATGAACTTGGAGGAGTAGGGAGAATATGGATATTATTTTTTTCATTTGGGGCGGACTAGTGCTGGGATAAAGAGCGTGGAGTCAAATTTATCCTCAGTTCCTAGGGGTGCTATTGCTTGGAAGCCTCATATTGGAGAGCACTGATTTAGAAAATAGCTTCCAAACTCTTAGTGCCCCCTGGAGGGCGGGGGAACAGAGTTAGTGGACAAGACTTTTGGCTCTCTCCTTCCTTTATTGGCCAGAATTGGTCACATGGCCATCTGTAGCTGCAAAGCAGTCTGGGAAAGTGAGGACCTGACATTTCCAATTTCTTTCATGGGAGGCAGTGCCTTGACAGAGGAGAGGGGAATGGTTGCTGGGGAGCAATTTACAGAACCTGCCATACTTTCTCAATATATATATATATATATATATATATATTTTTTTTTTTCTCTCTCAACGTATATTTGTTGAGCATCTAACCTGGGACATACGGATCCGCTACCTCAACCAGAGCAGCCTCTCTTTTATTTTATGTATTAGTTCCTGTCTCACATCACACTTGCAAAAAGTTTGTCCATTTCTTTGGCTTTTCAAAGAATCCGCTTTAGGTTTTACCGACTAACTCTAATTTTGTTTTATATTTTGTCCATTTTTGTTTTTATTGTTCTCAATTCCTTACCTTTTTCCTTCAATTTATTTCATGAACTTCTTCTAGTTTCTTCAATGGAAAGCTTATTTGGTTCACTTTAAAAGTTTTTTTTTTTTTTATTACTTTCAATGTATTTAAGCATTGAAGGCTATCATTCCCCCTCCAAGTGTGGCTTTGGCCATATCCTACAGATTTCTATATTAGTGTTTTCACTGCCATTTGATTCTGGTTGATTTTGCAATTTTTTTGTTTTTAGTTTTGTTTAATATTTATTTTATTTTTAATATTTTATTGTATTTTTTAAATACCATCCCCCCTACATCCACCCCCTGCATATTTTGCATTTTTATGGCCTCTGTAATCTAAATATTATTTAAATTTAAGGAATTGCTTTCAAGTGTGTAGAAATTTTGGGGGGGAGGGAAGGCTATAGCTTTTGAACTGATACCTGCTTTTATTTCATGGCTATTAAAATAATATATTGACCTATGAATAAGCTTTGCATTTGAAGAAGGGGCTCTGAGGCTAATAAAATGGTTTGGAAAAGTCTAGTCTACCCTAAGTCCATACCCTGGACAAACAGGCTCTAGTGACTCCATGACAAGTGTGAGATTATGACCCAGATTTTATAACTCATTCTGGCAATCTTTTACCACTCGCCATCCCTCCTGAACATAGCCATCCTCAGAAAGGCTGTCTTGAAAGTTACCAGGAAATCTCTGTACCAGCCTTTTCCTACCCAAACCTCTCTTTCTCCCCCAAGCCATCACCATTTCCGGCCAACATCAAGAGTCTCTCTCTAATGGGGCATCTTGGCCGGGTGGAGCCTGCGGCTCATGAGTGGAGTTAGAAGGCACACTCTCTCTGGCTCCCACTCCCCTGACCTCTCCTCTCACCCAGCCCCTGCCTCATTTGCATTCATTTATTCACAGGGCCCTGTCATTTGCATAAATGGCTTTGCTTCAGGGCCTGGGAGATGGAGTGATGTACAGCATAGGGGAGGGCCATGTCTCACAGAGCCCACCTCTGTTCGGTGTCCCTGGGAGGGGCAGCCTGTGACCCACTGGGAGGCAGGACCCTCAGATGTAACCTGGGGAGACGGGGAAAGGGTCCGAGTTCCTGACATTAAGCAGTGGGAGCTCCAGCCTTGTGATCTGGGCACCCCTCTGCATGCACGCGCCCAGACTTGAGAGTAATCTTGGGTGGGGAAGGAAGCGAGGGGGCGCCCAGGAAATGGCGGGGCTGGCAATGGTGGAAGCAGAGGCCGACACACACTTGTGTTAACCAGGATGTTTATGGCCTCCCTGGCTCCCCGACAGCTCAGGGACGGAGTAGGGCCCTATTGGCTCTAACTCTATTGTGGAAGCAGGAGGACATAGGACCAGAGCCACGACGACCGTCCCTCTGCTCACGGGGAGAACGTGGGGAGGACGGTGCGAAGAGCTCTTCTCTCTGGAGGTGTCCAGGTCCACGTTACTCCAGGGCTGCGGTGGAGGGTGGGGCAGAGGGGGGGCAGGCCGTCAGGGAGGTAGAGGAGCAGCCCCTGGTGCCCCCACCCCTCCTGCCGCCCTGCCCGCCCCCGGCCTCCCGGCGGCCCCCCCCGCCCCCGGCTCAGCCTGTGCCAGGTTCAGGTTCAGGAAGGTGGCGTTGGTCCTCGTGCAAGGGAGAGAGGCTGACTGTGAGAAGAGAGACAGGTGAAAGGGAAGCCCGGGGCTTCACGGGGGGTGGCCTGCTGTCTCTGGACAGCATTCTCCCCCGACACTGGCCCGGAAAACCAGGGCTTGGTGAGTGAATGGGTGAAAGCCGGAGTATAGAAGTGTCTGCCAGCGACTGGGCCCCTGACTGGGGAAGCTTCAGTCTGAGGGAGGGAGGCACTGTCCCTGACTCAGGGACATGGCTTCTGAGAGTGCCTGGTCTGAAGGGCGAGGCCAGACCCCTGCCTGGGATGACCTAGTCCACAGTGCCCGAGAGCTCCTGCCTGAACTGGTGAAACCTGGCCCTGCCTCTGGGACGTGGCCTCTCAGGCCTGTGGAGGGTCTGAAGACGCTCAGTGTGTTAGGAAGACCCGGTCCCTGGCTCTGGGAGCTCCCAGTCTGGTGGAGGAGACACTGTCCCTGGCTCTGGGAGCTCCCAGTCTGATGGAGGAGACACTGTCCCTGGCTCTGGGAGCTCCCAGTCTGATGGAGGAGACACTGTCCCTGGCTCTGGGAGCTCCCAGTCTGATGGAGGAGACACTGTCCCTGGCTCTGGGAGCTCCCAGTCTGGTGGAGGAGACACTGTCCCTGGCTCTGGGAGCTCCCAGTCTGATGGAGGAGACACTGTCCCTGGCTCTGGGAGCTCCCAGTCTGATGGAGGAGACACTGTCCCTGGCTCTGGGAGCTCCCAGTCTGATGGAGGAGACACTGTCCCTGGCTCTGGGAGCTCCCAGTCTGATGGAGGAGACACTGTCCCTGGCTCTGGGAGCTCCCAGTCTGATGGAGGAGACACTGTCCCTGGCTCTGGGAGCTCCCAGTCTGATGGAGGAGACACAGTCCCTGGCTGTGAGGTTCCCAGTCTATTGGGGAGACACGGTCCCCAACACCTGGGAGCCCCCAGTCTGATGGGGAGACACAGTCACCGACACCTGGGAATTCCAAATCCGGTGAAAGAGACCTGGCTCCTGACCATCGGGAACGTCCGGTCTGGTGGGGGAGACACAATGCCCACCACCCCGTTTCATTCATGCTAATGAAACAGGTCATTCCGATCTCAGTTTGAGGGGTAAATTCCATCCTGAGCTGGTAGCAGTCCTGTCCTCACTCTCACTGTGATGTAAAGGATGGGACACGGTCCCCAATGTCTAGGATACCAGGCGGAAGGGGGCAGCATGATCCACCCGACTCAGTCCCTCTAGTCTGCCTGATGGGGGAGGTAAACCCCCATCATTAGCCTGTTTCCCTAGTAGGGGGGTAGATGCAGAATCCTCTGTGTTTTAGGGCCCACTCGTCTGTGGGATAAAGGATGCCCCGCCCTCAGGCTTTGTCCCCTTTTTAAAACTCTCCGTCTGCTGTGTCTCTTGTGAGAGAGAGGAGGCATGGAAGCCCCCCGTAGCAGCCGCGAGTCTGTCAGGCGAGGCCTGTCTGCCCCTGGTCTGGGTCATCAGTGTGACCGAAGAGCTTGTCTGGGGACCCCCAAGTCAGACGGAGGAGACCAGGTCCCTTCTCGCGGTCTGGTGGGGAGGCATATCTGCCCTTGATCTAGGTCCCCCAGCCTTACGGAGGGGTCAGAGGCCCCCTGTCGGGAGCCCCCGTCTGAAAAGAGGCGCCCTCCCGCCCTCCCCTCCCGCACACTCACGGGCCACCTGCAGTTCCAGTTCCAGAGACTCGGTCTTGCCCTGCAGGGTGACCGTCTTGAGTGTGTAGCGGCCGGCGTCCGTGAGGTTCAGCTTCTGCACCAGCAGCGAGCAGTTGGCGAAGCCCACCTCCCGGCCTGTGTGCGCGGGGCCTGCGATCCAGTTCCCCGACGGCAGCTGGCTGAGCAGCCGGTTGGGCTCGGAGGCAGGCCCGCGGTACCAGGCGTAGACCAGCAGGTCCTTGGGGTAGCCCTGCACGGTCAGGGTCACGTCCTGGCCCTCCGTGGGCTTGCTGGGCACCGGCACGATGGACATGGCGACCACGGCCGCTGGGGAGAGAGTGACGGGGTGCAGGGTTAGCTGGGCCTGCGCTGGGCATAGTGTCCCCTTCCTGCCCCCAGCCGGCTCATCAATGCCTCCCCTCAGCTGGTCGGCGCTCCTGCATGCATGGTTCTGGGAAGGAGACAGAGGAAGGAGGTGAGTTGTGTGGCAGTGGTGGTGTCCCTACAATGCCTGTCAGGGGGCCGTGTCTCCCCTGTTAGACTAAAAATTTGCAGACTTTGGGGGGGTCTCTCTTGTATGAAACTGAAGGACCCTAGAGGACAGGGTCGTGTCTCCTCCATCAGATTGAAAATTCTCCCAATATAGGGGCCATGTCTCCCCCATCTGATTGGAAATTCTAGAATATGGGGGACCGTGTCTCCCCCATTTAAAAGTTTATATTAAAAAAATACAAGTGACCGGGAATCGAGCCCGCAACCTTTCGGTTACAGGATGACGCTCCAACCAAATGAGCAGCACCGGCCAAGACATTGTGTCTCCCCCATTAATTTGGAAATTCTCAGAACACGGGGACCGTGTTTCCCCCATCAGATAGATGGGAGTTGTGTACTCCAAGTTGTGCCTCTTCTGCCCAACTGAGAGACTTCAGGAGGTAGGGGCTACCGTTTCCCACCGGGTTAAAAGATCCCAGTGGGTAGGAGACATGTCTCCTCCATCAGACAGCATGTTCCAGACTGTGGGTTAGGTCTTTCCAATCAGCTCGGGGGAGCCCAGAGGCTGGATTAGGCTATGATACTAGAAATTCCTAGAGAGTGGGAGGCCTCTACTCCCCCATCAGATTGGGAGTACCCCAAAGGGGGCAACCGTGTCTCCCCCACCAGACTAGGAATTCTAAGAAGTAATGAATACAAATGGCCACGTCTCCTCCATCAGAATTCGAAATCTCTCTAAGCGTGCACTGTGTCTCCTCCATCAGACCCGCAGCGCCCCGGGGTGGGGGGAGGGTGGCGTCTCCCTTTTCCTCTGTCTCTTTCCTGGCACCTGCCACAGGGTTGCGGACAGTTCAGGAGGCTGTTTGGGCCACTGTGCCCACTCCCTGCACGTACCTGCGTAGCTTGGGCCCCCCACCCTCCACCATAGGCAGGGCTGGGGAGAACACCCGAGGTCATCTGGCCCACCCCCCTGTCTCCTGGCAAGACCAGCTGCCAGGGACGAGGTGGGGCGCGGCAGGAGGTGCGCTTACCTTTGGGGATGTCATTTCTGCTTTGGGTGAAAGAGGATCCACCCTTTGGATGAGACCCAGCCTGTTAGGAGGAGGGAAGGGCAGGGGAGGACTGTGCCCTCTGTCCCCAGGGAATGGCGGGCGCTTGGGAAGGAACCAAGGCAGAGTGAATCAGACCCCAGCATTCAATGCCACCATCCCCAGGGGATGCGAAAATGTCCCCTGAGGATCCTGATGGCTCTGAACACACCAGCTGTGTCTGCACTACCCGAAGCCCCCAGGGCATCTGAGGACAGGGATCAGAAAATGCCTCCCCAGCTGTGTTTTTCCATTTGCCAACAATTGGCTCTGATTTTCCGTGCGTACGTGCGCGCGCGCACGCACCGTCCTCGGGGCCAGATAACGGGGCGATCTGGTCGGCCACCCAGAACCTCAGCTGCCTGGCTGCCTGAGTGCGCCACGCCCCTCGGCAGCTGGTGACTGAATTTAGAACCGGCCCGCCCGCGCGACGGGGACAGCTGAATGTTTTCCCACTCTCGCTGCGGCGAAATGTGGGGGCATCTGACCCATTTCTCGCTTTGCCACCCTTCAAGGAGGAGAGTCAGATCTGTCGTTTGTTTTCCAGGCGACTGGGAGGCGCTGTCTCCACGGTCCCCTGCAGGGGGCGGGGGTGCACCTGACATGCCCCTCTCCTCAGACAGACCTCTCAGCGTTCTCTCCCTTTCCAGTCATGCTGCTGGGCAAGCGGTGGCCTGTGGGTGGCGCCACCAAACCCTCGCAGTTCCATGGGGCCTTGGTGCAGAGGGGGTGGTGGGCAGGCCGGGCCCGGGTGACTCACCAGACAGCTTGACCACCACCGAGGCCGAGCCGGAGAGCAGGGTCTTGGTGTTCTTAGCGATACACGTGTAGGTGCCCTCCTGGGCGGCGGTCATGCCAGTGATGTTGAGGTGGTCTCGGTCGTTCTTTAGGGCCCTCCCGTTCAAGGCCCACACGTACTCGGGCTCCGGGCAGGACCGGGACACACACCACAGCGTGAGGGACGCGTTGAAGTCGACTTTGATGGTGCAGCCCGTGCGGGGGATGGAATCCTGCACGATGGCCACGCGTTCCGGGCCGACTGTGGGGGCAGCAGCGAGAGAAAAACAGGGCAGTAGAGGGAGAGGGGAGGAGAGGTGGGCACCCCTGGCGTTCCTGGCACCAGGCTGGGCCCCTGGAAGGGTCTGGGCCTAGTGGAGGGAGAGAACTCTGGCCTGTTGGAAGCCCTCATGGATCGCTAACTCGCTTTAGGGTCTCCAGACCCACTTTCTTCTCAGGAGGAGTCCCAGTTTCTCTTCTGTAAAAAGAGGGTGTTGAGCCAGACTAAATGTCGAGATTTTTTTTTTTGAATCTATGGCTCCGTTAAAAAAAAGAGTCTAGATGATTGGATTCCGATAAGGCAGTCTAAGAGTCTAGAATTCTAAGGCTCCGAGAGTGATGTTGTCAGGTTCTAAGAGTCTAAGCTTCTAGAGATCTATGCTTCTAAGACGCTAGGAGAGGTGGCTCTAAGATTTTAGAATCAAATGCTAAGATTCTAAGAATCTCTGCTTCTAGAATGACTAGGCTCCTCAGAATTGCATGCTTCTCAACTCCAGAATTCCTTGGTTGTAGGATTCTAGGCTCTAAGTTTTTTTACAGCGCCGGCTCTCGAGTACCTCAGCGGTTTATTTTCCCCGGATTCCACGCCGCGGGTCGGCCGCCCCTGGCAACAACTACGCGCTTTGGTGGTGTTTTTATCTCCCTTCCCTCCTCCCTTTCCCAAACCAATCACTCCACTGTGCCTTCCCTGCTAGTACTGCTTCCAACGGGAGGGTCATTCAATTCCAAAAGTGTGGCTAGTCTTTAGGAGGTGGGTCAAGTACGTTTGAAGAGGGTTCCCTGGTTCCTAACCCCAGCAGGCCCAGTGTTTGCCCTTGGGCGCCCTCTCTTGGTCTCAGTTTCCCCACCTATGAGGCTCGGGCGCTGGGTATGTCTGGCGGGGCCGGGAGGACTCACAGTACACGGTCAGGTTGATGGGCTCGCTGCGGCTGACACTGACCGGGTTCCAGACCTCACACTGGTAGGCTCCGGCCTCCTCCCTGCGGATGCCGTGCCGGGTCAGCACCCGGCCATCGGGGGACATGCCGAGGCGGACGGCGATGGGCAGGGCCTCGCCATTGAAGAACCATCGGACCTCAGCGGGGCTGGGGCTGCTGCAGAGCAGGCGCAGGGTGTCTCGGCGCTCCACCAGCTCCGTTTCGTTGGCCATGACCACAGGCTGGGCCAGGATCTCTGTGGGGCAAGAGACAGAGGGGGAGGGCGCCGGGCACCGCCTGCTCCCGGGGGCGCCCCGTCGTCCTCAGACAAGGGGCATGGCTGGATCCTGGTGGTGCCCCTGTGACCCCAGCCAGAGTGGCAAAGAATGGGATAAAAGGCAGGTGTAATCCTAGATGCCATCCTGAAGGAGGTGAGCATTTTAATGTTATCTTAGTTTTTTTTTTTGTAATGGCCTTACTATATGTATTTTTTAAATTTAAGGGGTTGGAAAAGAGGTGGGAAGGCTCTGCTGGGGAAGAGGAGGTCTGGGTGGTGTCTCACCATAGACCCGCAAGCGGCCGTGGCCCACCTCCGTCTGAAGCTGCCTGTTGAGAGTCTGCAGGATGTAGGTGCCCGAGTGCCCAGGCAGAGCACCGTGGATGTCCAGGCTGCCGTCGGGGCGCACAGCCTCCCGCCCCGTGTGGGCCGGGCCGGGGGTCTCATCGCCTGTGCTGACGATGTAACTGGCCACCAGGTAAGCCAGGTTGATGGAGGGCCCCGCGTACCAGTTGTAGGCAAGCTCCTCCCCCGAAAGCCCGCGGACCACCAGGGTGATGTTGTCTCCCTCCGCCGGCTGGTCAGGCTCGGGGGTGATAGTGATCTCGGCCCCTGTGCTCAGGAACACGGCTGAAGAAAAGGGGCCAGAGGGGCCCAGTGAGTCAGGTTTGGCCGGGGTCCCCGCGCAAGACTGGGGCGGCTAACCTGTGTGTTCCGGGTGCATCGTGAGTGCTCAGTGAACCTTAGCCAGGCGCAGGCCCTACGCCCTGGGGAGGCTGTGCGTGCTCTGAGGGCTGAGTTCGACCGGCTGTTTTGAGCATCTAGCCTAAGGCTTTGCCAAGCGCAGGGTCCACACGCAGCCCGTGGGGCCTTGGGATTTCGTGGGACCCAGAGGGTTTTCCAGCTGTGAGAGTCACCAAACCGAGTCCTGCAAGACCAGGCTGGCTCCTCCAGCCCCTTGGCCCTGGCTCCCTGGTCCAGGGCTCTTCCTGTGCTTCCCCATCATTAACATACTCCACCCCCTTTCTTCTAAACCTGACAGGTGAGCTCCAAACCCGAGGAGCTGGTCAGGGCTGCTTGGGTCTGAGCTATGTGGGTTCCCCGGAATGAGCGCTGTGGCCGTGCTCACCTAAAAAGTACTCCCATACCTGGCCCAGTTTCCGGTACTTTTCGGGCTAGCAGAGCGGGGCTAGCAGGGAGGGCCCCGGGGCTAGCACTCATCCCTGCCACTTTCTGGCTGTGTGACCCGAGCCAGTGAGTCAACCTCTCTGAGCCTCAAGGATCTCAACCATGCAGTGGGGGTCATGAGTGAGCCTCCTCCACAGAACGGGCGTTAACACAGGAGATCCTGGAGAACAGCTCCAGGTGCCACAGCAAGCACCGGTAACACTGCTTCAGATGACCTTCCAGTGACCCTGTGCGCTGGGCCCATTTCACAGAGCAGGAAACCGAGGCTGAGAAGGGGCAGGCAACTGCCCAAAGCCACCTCCTCGGGGATTAGAAGTGACCCTACTTAAGCTTTCAGACCCCCATCAGGGTTTACTATATGAGTAAAGGCGCAACTGTGGCTGCCTCGCCCCGGTTCATGCTGCGGTCTTAGCAATCTCCACAGTCCACCCTGCCACCCTCTCTGGGTGGCTGAGCCGGCTCGGCTCATGCCGGGGCCTCTTGGAGCCTGTGGGAAGCAGAGCTGCCCTCCCTACCCAGCATGCTGGATGGCTGCTCACACCTTCCCTCTCCTGGCCGCCTGGGATCCCCTACCTCCCTGAAGCCACCGGGGGCTGGGGCTCTGGGGGGCAGCATTCTCGCTCACCGCTGAGGAGGAGCCAGCTGCACCCGGTCAGCGCCATCTTTCACCCCAAACCTGGGTCTTGGAGATGGTGCTGCTGGCGTCCAATGCTCTGAGGCCCGTCCCGGTTGGGGCTTGGCTCCGTCTGGCGCTGGACCTGGGAGGGTTCGGCGATTTGGAGCCGGGGGAGATCACCTGAATTTGGAGGGATCGATTCACCAAGGATCTGGGGCCCCGTTTGGGTACCAGGGCGGGCGTGGCAGGCACGGGCCAGGGGCCACGACCTGGCCGGGCCTCCTGGGGCACTGCCTAACCTTTTTTTGTGCCGAGGGCCGGAGTTTGGTACCAGGAGGCGAACCAGGTCGCCGGGGAGGGGGGGCAGCGGGGGAAGGTTTTAGGGCAGTTTTTACCCACGGCCCAGGCCCTGGCCTCTCTGTTGAGCTCAGGGGTCACTGAGGAGTAAAACTAAGCAAAGGTGGCTGCCCTTTTTCCAGCCTCCTTGCCTGTGGGCAAGCTTCAGCCCTCATTTCAGTGGGCGTCCCGTGAGGGGTTACTGTTAGAACCCCCGTTCATGTACAGGTGGGGAAACTGAGTCACCGGGCAGAGGCTCTGACTGGCCTAAACTCCGGAAGGGAGAGGCATTTGAACTCTGCTGTGTTTCCCTGTCCCTGCAGAAGGGCCCGAGGGACCACCTGTGGGACTGTGCTTCCTGGCCTGCCGCACGGGACCGAGAAATGATGGTGCACATGCTGCTCAGGGCCGTGCCCCGTGCCCGGCAGAGATGGGCCCCAACTGTGAGGTCTGGTGGGTGTGACCATTATTAAGAGTGTGGGCCTGGAACTAATGCCACCGTCTTCCACCTCCATGACTCGGCAGGTGATGGGGCCCACCGGGCCTCACTCAGTTTCCTCATCTGGAAAATGGGAACGCGGTCCGTGCCCCTCTCCCAGGACTACGCTGGGGATTAAACGAGAAAACGTGTGTGCAGTTCTTACAGCAATGCCGGGCCAGGAGCAAATGCCCGGCCAATCCTGCATTCATTCATTCATCATTCATTCATTCATTCGTTCATTCATTCGGCAAATGTTACGTGAGTGCCTGGCAGGCCTTGTTCTGGCTGCTGGTTGATACAGTCCCTGCCTGTGCAGGCTGACATTTGTGGGGTAAATGAAAAAATGTAAAATCTCTCCCATGTCCGATGGAGGGAGATATATGTCGTCTAGAAAAGTAAAGCCAGCAACAGGGGGGTTGCAATGTTTAAACCGGGACAAGGGAGGTCACCAGGGAGGTGCCTCTGGGAAGGTGACGTTGGGCAGAGGTCACAGCGGGGGTTGGTGGGAACCGTGCAGGGAAGAGGGGCCCCGACAGACGTGTTGTTATCAGTGTCCTGATGGCGTCTGGGTCCTGGTCCCTCTGAGGCCCAGGCAGCCCGCTTCTGGGCAGGGAGCCACACCTGTGGCTCACCTGTCCTGGTTTGTTCCTCCAGAGCCGTGTCCTGAGCTGCCCTGGCTGGGCGGGGCTCCGGTAGGGGGAGTGAGAGGCGGGGGAGACCTGGCGCCTCCTGCTCCCCCCACCCCACTGGTGACCTCACCTCACCCTTCTCGGTGCCGCCCAGCCCCCTCCCCCGAGCCCCGGGACCGCATCTCAGTGTCGTTCAGGATGCCTCCCCCGTGTGCCCGGGTACTTCTCGCTCACCTGTCCCCAGCTGACCTTGGCATCTTCCCCAGATCTGCTCCTCCTCCCCGTCCTCTTATCAGGGATTGGCGCCACGGTCCACCGTCATTGGGACACAAAGACTGAGGCCTGGTCCCTGACGCCTTCCTGCGTCTCCCACCCCACCCCCGAAGCGCCATACCTTATGGTGCCCCCCTCCTAAACGTTTCTTTCATGAATGCCTTTCTCTCCCTCCTTGTGCCCCCTGCCCTGGTCCAGGTACCTCCTTGCATCCTGCCTGGCTCCCCCTCCAACTCCTCCATGATCTCTGCCCACCGCCTTCCCACCAGGGTGCACAGAGCCTGCCGCGCGTGGCTCCCCAGCGTCCTCAGGAGAAAGCCCAGGTCCTTGTCCTGACCCATGTGTCCTTGCCTTATGGGACACCTCTCCCTTCTGGAACTTTCGACTGTAGTTATTCTGTCTCGCTTGTGCTCCCGTCGCTCAGCATGTCCCCTGCTTCACCGCCTGCCCAACAATTCCTCCTCCTCCTCCAGGAAGCCCTCCCGGACTCTCGGGCTGGGTTAAGTGTGTTCTGGGATCCCCCATGCCTAACCTGGCCCCCCTGGGTCGTCACTGTGGGTGATGGGTCCGTCTCCCCGACTGGACCGCGAGTCCTGGGAGGGCAGCACCAGGGCTGCTGTGGTCACCACCGTGTCCCCAGCACTGCCCAGCCCGGGGTGGGGCACAGAGCAGGGGCTCGGGGAGTATTTGTGGAACCGAACACCGGGTGTGGATGACACGGAAACAGGAGCCTCTCGGGAGGCCGGGTTTCTGGCGGTTTGGCTGAGAAGCAGGACGAGGACTCGGCTCCTGGAGGCTCGGGGAGGGACGCGGCTTGCGTCCAGACCCCGCCATGGCTCCGCACCGACCCTCCTCTGCTGCCTGCCCCGACCTGCCTCCTCCCTGGTCCCTCGCTGGTGCTCCTGGACGTGAGCCTGCGTGCTGGGTCTCACAGACAGCTGCAGTTTCTTGAGCACCTACTATGTGCCAGGCCCAGAGCTGAGCTGAAAGTAGACCAGGCAACCATGGGCAGGGTCCTTCGTTTCTCTGTGAAGTGGGTGGTAGGAGATCATGACCCTGACCTTCCTGGGAGTCCTCTGGGCAAGGAGGAGAGCAGGCGCATGGTGCATGAGTGTGTGGACACCATGGTCCATTCGCCATTCACCAAACATTTGTGGAGGACCTACCCCGGGCTGGGCGCTCTGCTAGGTGCTGCGTTCCAGCCCGGAGCAGACGGGGATGCAGTGGCTGGGGCGCTGGTTTGTGCAGGGCAGTGAGGAGACGTTGCAGGAGGAGAAACCTTGTTCAGCAAACTCATAAAGAGCCTGGCGCTCTGGTCGGGTGGCTCAGTGGGCTGGAGCGCCATCCTGTACACCACAGAAAAGTCTGCAGGTTCGATTCCCAGTCAGAGCACATGCCTAGGTTGCAGGTTTGATTCCCGACTGGGAGGTGAAGAGGAAGCCATGGAGTGATGTTTCTCTCTCACATCAATGTTTCTCTGTCTCTCTCAATCAATAAACATATCCTCAGGTGAGGATTAAAAAAAAAAAAAGAAGGAATCTGGAGACTTTGCTAGAAATAAGTGACAGAGATTTATTCAAGGGTCCTGGTGTTTACAGACTGGAAACACGGTTAGGCAATACCCCAGAAGGGCTCCGAAGAAGAAAGCAAAGTGAAAAGCTCTTACAGCAAATCAAAGTGCATTCTGGAGAAAGATCAGTCCCGCATTCTTAGCCCTAGGGCTGGTCCAGGCTGGTTATCAGGCAGATTCAGGTAGCCTACCTGGAAGAGGTGCCAGGACGTCTGGTCACGTGGTTCCGGTGGCCTGGATAATGGGTGTCAGGTGGCCTGGACAGGTGAGTCCTGCCGGGGACAATTAGAGGGCTGCCTGGAGGTCCCGATGTGTCCAGGCAACTCAGGCAGAACTGGAGAGTCCAGAAAAGTTCAAATTCCCCGGCTCGTCAGGGCGAGCATGGAGTCTCTCCTAATGTTCATAATGTTCATACCTTCCTAATGTTCATCATCTCGGCAGCTTGGTTACGATAACTCCGCTTTATATGTTCCCTAGCTTCTCTTTTTCCTGAGACTCAAGAAAGGACCCCTGCTGATTCCAGGGAAGGAGCATTCCTGGCCGAGGGAACAGCCAAGGGCAAAGCCAAGGGCAAAGGCCCTGAGGCAGGGCTGTTTGGGTAAGTGTGAGACCGGTGAGGTTGGAGCCTTTTGCAGACAAGGAAACTGAGGCACAGGGCCATTGCCTCAAGAGGATGGAGTGGGTGAGTCTTTTCTCCCCACAACCAACTCAGGGGGACGGGAGGGGGCAAGGTCCTGTGACCCGGCCCGGTGAGCTCCCCGCCCCCACTCCCTGCCCTCTTATCGCACGGGCTACCACCTTAGCTCCTGAGGGAGCCAGAGGCTGCCTGAGGCCTCCTCATTCAGTCCACTCGCTGAGGCCCTGCCCATCATACTTAATCAATATTTGTCAGATAGAAACCATGCCCCGTGCCCTGTGGCAGGACCCTTGTCCTGGTCTCCCTGTGCAGAGACCTTGAAACCGAGGGGTTGGCTAGCAGCATCCTCACCCTCCTTCCTCCTTCCCTTATCTCACCAGGGCGAGGCTGGAGGTGCCGCAATATTTACTCAGGGACCCGACCTCCGGGTGTGGCTTCCTTTGCCGGCTTGGCAAGGTCTGGGCTTGGTCCTGCAGAGGCTGTTCTTGGGTGGGGAGGGGGAAGACCCCACGTCCCCTGAACTGCTCACCCTGGGAAGTGGTCCCAGACGGGTGCGCAAGAGGGGATGGTGAATCGAGCCTCACACCTTTGCACAGGCTGGTCTCTTCCTGTGGATATCCATCTCTCCCCTCCGTCTTCCCCTCTCACCTCGTTCACCTGGGTTTTTCCAAGCCGTTTAATCATTGAACAAATATTTATTGAGCACCCATTATCTACAGTCTGTGTCAAGGCTACAGGCCACATTCCTTCCCTTGTGGGGCTAAATCCTATTGGAGCGAGGTGGGCAATAATGAAACACCTGCTACAGCCTATCATGTCCGGGAGAGAGCACCATAAAAACAAATAGGACAAGAAGATAGGGAGAGACAGGGGTCACCCTTTTAAGGAGGGAGGGTTGGGGGGGTCCTTCCTGAAGCGGGGACCTGAAGGAGGTGAATACCTCGGGGAAGAGGGAAGCTGTGGCAGAAGGCACAGCCAGTGCAAAGGCCCTGAGGCAGGAAGGTCTTTGGTGAGTGTGTGGACCTCACGCAGGCTGGTGTGGCTGGAGCTGAGTGTTGGAGGGGACAATGGCCGGAGGCGGTGACATCCCGTCCCTCCCGTATTATTTGAAAGCAAATTT